GTGGGTGCATTCCATCAGGGCCCATGGATTTGTGGACATCCAAATCACTTAAGCGATCCCTCACACAGTCCTCCTCGACCAAGGGAAAGTCGTCCTTTTTGTAGGCTTCCTCTCTTACCTCCGGGGCCTGGGATTCCCGAGGGCCAGTCTTAGCACTGAAGACTGAAGCAAAGAAGGCATTCAGTAGCTCTGCCTTCTCTGCATCCTCCGTCACCAGGACACCCGCTTCATTCAGCAGTGGATCCACATTGTCCCTAGCCTTCTTTTTGCTGCTGATGTAGTTGAAGAAGCCCTTCTCGTTGTTTTTGACATCCCTTGCCAGCTTCAATTCCAGGTGGGCTTTGGCTACCAGGGAATCTACATGTGAATGTGATTCAATTGTTACAATTTGGTTTGGATTTGGATTGTGTATCTGAAAATAAATCAGTTTTGAAGAAAAAAAGGATTTTGAGAAAGAAAGAATTTCTGAATAAAGATGAATATGAATCTGTGTCTGAAGTGACAAATATATTTCCCTGGATGGGACCACTATCAAATAAGTTCTCTCTTTCATAAAGATAAATATTTAGAGTAAGAGTTGCATCTGAAATACAGCAATACAGTTTTGGGGAAAGTGGAAGGAGGAAACTAGTTTTTTACTTTGCTGGGCAAGGAACAAATTTGCCTCTAATACTAGTGAGATGTATACTTAAAATAAGAGAAGCTTAAATAATATTGGAATGGCAACTCACACAGGGAGAGATCTGTTAACCATGAAAGCTCAAAAGAGATGTCACCTGACAGCGGACACAGAGAAATCAAATGTGGTTCTAGTATGTAGGTGACACAATTATTTAAGATGCCTTATTAACATAAAATGGTATATGATTTATTGAGAAGTTATCAAAGCTGAGAAAGGCAAATCCAGTTGAAAAGCAATGCTGTAAAATCTACCTAAAATTTAATAAAACATGGCTAGCTGTAGTGCCACTGATTTTTAAGAGTGCTTTACTTACTTAGGTATACTGTTTTTCAGATGTGTCCAAGTTTTAATACCTCTGCTCCCTATGTGAAGAATAAGAAAGGACATATTTTGTATAATCTTTCTGGGTTCATTTTGGAAGAATATTTAGTGAGGCCTTCCAACAAAGCAAGGTAGCCTTAAAATATTTAATCTTGTTTCATCCTTTATGTATAAAACCCACAGTCCTTCTTGATTGAAAGCATAGACTACGTCACTGGGAATATAAGGGGTAGTTGCATTTATCTGTTGGTTGTTACCAAGGCATAGCGTCAGGCTAAGGCAACATGGAACCCCCTCCATAGTCATTTCTCAGAGCTTCCTCCAGCAGTTGCATGATAATTGCCTCTAGACATACCCTGGCTCTTCGCCCCACACAGCGAGTTATTTCAGCATCTCAGAGAAAGAAAACATATATAGATATGAAAATCAGATGAACAATATAGTTTCCATTCCTCAGAGACTCAATCCAATAGAGGTGGTATATGCTCCATTTCATCTTTTCTTTGAATTATAAGGGCTAGTAAGACTTCATATCGTATGATACCAGCCACAGAGATTATTACCTGCTGTATTCTGAGGTTTCCTTACATTCCTTTACAGCTCAACCACTGCTTTTGGCATAAATGTGAACAGTAGAGCAAGTAGGATTTTATCAAGGAGAAGAAAGTTTTAGCTATTTATGCATCAAAAAAGCATAGCTGATTTGACAAAAATAGAGGTAAACACCTTGGGATGAAAGATTTGAGCTAGAATATGAATGGAGTAGGAAGAAATCAAGCTGTTTAAGATGTTTCTGAAAGTCAGCAACACCTCAATTGCTCACAGACCATCCTGTTGCTCAGGGATTTCAGCTTTCAGAGAGTAAAAATTCTTATCTGAGGGAATCCCTTTGTCAGAAAAGAGCAATAATGTTTAACTGATTCAAGAGTATATTGAACACCTTCTTTATAAGAGCGCAAGGGATTGTTAGGGATGAATTTTTACTTTCAGTTGAAAAATAAAGCACTTATGTAGTTATTAGCACTTTATCACTGCAAGAAAAGACTGGTAAGCGTGAGGCAGGTAACTTGTTATTACTTTATTTTCTATTACCAGATATGGTGGCTGGTCTTTTGGAGTTAAGAAAACGTTTGAACTTCAAAATAAAAAACTGAATAACACCAAATCTAAGCCTCTGGCTAAGGTAAGGGTTGCATGTATGTACGTGCGTTTGTATGTGTGTGTTGCTTGCTTATTCAGGTTGCAGACTTCACAGAACTTAGCAAATAATAAATAATTACGTAAAATCCTTGCATTTAGAAATCAAGAGAAAAAAACCTTTGTCTGTTATAGTTCATATTTCATAATTCTTGAAGTGTTCTCCTGTGTTCTGAGAAGCAATTTTAAATGAGTCAAATATTACGACATTTTTTTTCCTGTGAACTTATTTTAGAGTCTAACAGCTCACCTTTAAAACTTTTCTAGATAGTCAGCCAAGGTGCTCTTCCTTTTTTTTTTTTGTTTTCCACACAAAGTCAATGTCAGAATTGACAACATTTTTTAAAGGTCTCTAAAATGAGTTATTACTGATGCTTTTTTCATTTCTGCAAGGAATAATTTTCTTTGCTATATTTGTCGTCCCGTCGTCCACCGCCCTCCTCCCCCCTCAAGTAAAGATTTAGCTTCTAAGAGTAGCTAATTCTGCATAACAGACGTGCTACTTTGTGTTTATAACCCTCGTTTCAGATATGAGTAACTTTCCATTTTTATCCGAAAGAGAAATGTGCCTTACTGAAATTAGTCAGGTTGTGAAATCTGAATCTAGAGTAGACAGTAGATCACAGACAGTAGATCATACTGTCCGGCACTGCTACACAGAGCCATTGTTTTCTGTCTGGAGCTACTTTTGAAGTCAGGAAAACAAGGATTATTCTAAGCACAATTGGAATAAAGAGCTTTTCCTTGAGGCCTTTTGGTATGTACCGGAAGGATACAGTATCTCCATATTGTGAAAACATAAGATGGGACCTGGAGGCTAACAGGTAATTACCAGTGCAAGGGATTTTATTTCCCTTGGGAATGCCTTGAAAGGTTCTTCTGAGATCCATTCAAATGTAGACCAGTAATGAGTACAGCAGTCTTGGAGGAGTATTGAAAAATATCAGTGAGTGGTCTCTATTTTTGTATTCAAGGCAAAAGAGATTTGTTAAGAGCAAGCTGTGGAATTTCCAGATTCCAGATTAGAATATGAAAGAAAGATGCTTCTGCCTTTAAATTGTTTAATGGGTGTGTAGAAACTAGATTTTATTTGCTCTTACAAAAGAAGAACAGAAAGAGCAGTGTAAATAAGCTCTATCCCAAAATCCATTTTAGGACAAAGTGTAGAAAAAACCATGTGTTAAAATAATGAACAGATATTCTCCAATCCAACATAATTTCATATTTAGTTTTGCAAAATCACTGCCTGCTTGCAATGCCTTTTACATGTAGATTTGTAAAAATCTCTTATACACACACTCTACTCATATACATTTTCACTTTGGTCTTTTGTGATCTCCCTCCTCCCCCCAGATTGCGTATAGCTTTGAACTCCAGTTCCATCAATCCTTCATTAGGAACTTGAAGTCTTAGAGGACTGCAATAAGATGTGTTTTTCTGACTGCTATTTTTATCTCTTGTTTTGACATGTCTGCACTATGTTTTTCGTCCGGGTCCTTTTTTTAAATGTCTTCGGCACAGAGCATCTCCTGCCATAAGCACATGGATAAATTATAGTTATACTGTTAGTGAGAAAGCTTCATATTTCAGACCCAAAGAAAACAGTGGAGTAGATTTATAAAGGGCACTGTGTTATCTAAAATACCTCCTGGAAGTTGCTTTCAACTGATGCAATGTCAAATTATTGCATTAACCTTTCAGTAATGAATGACCAGACTTTTACTTTGACCTTTCAGGCTTGTTCACAAGACAGTGAATGTACCACTCACATAGCCTTGTATGAAAGAAAATGAGAAATTTGCATTTGAAGAGATGTACTGTACCATTAATTTAATTTTTGAAAATTTCTGAATGTTTATAAGTTATTCTGCTCCACTCAAAAAGCCAATAATTTTTCCAGTTCAAATTAAAAATTACTATTTAATACCTATTTTACTTAATCATACCACACTGTATATACCACATACATGATAGATGCATGCATGAGAGAGAATATATCTACCACATGGCAGATGTGGCTGATTAAAAACATTGATTATTGACATTCATTGATGATCACTGCTACATAGCAAAAGCACAACTCCTCCTCACATTTCTACTCTTTTCTTGACTGTATATTCTTTGGTTTCCTTTGATAATGTGGAGAGAAAGTGTTTCATAATGATTTCATAGTTGCTGTTGTTTATAACATAATTAGATATAGGAAAAAGCATGTGGCAATTTCAAATAGCCCTGAAGCAATTTGTAGTGTTTAAGTGGCATTCTGAAGTGTGCATTTTTCCAGTCTCAAAGGTTGGGATTGAGGCTTTACTGTGCAGTGATAGTATAAGTGTCCAGAGGAATTTGCACCTCTCCAGTCTAATACACCTTCTCTCTGCCTCCCCATCATGAATCTGGTCCAGCAGCACTTAGGGAATTCTCTGCCCTTCCTCACCCCTTTTTCTTGATAGGCCAAGGGTTAGTGAAAATGTCCATCTAGCATTATTCTGGAATATTAATAACAGGTAAAAGTGGTATGGAATAATGGAAAATACTTCTTTACAGAACTTAGGTCTAATGTGGTGAGGGACTATGTTTTTTCCCTGGGAAGGAATTTTATCAAACATGGATAGAAGGTATAATATTTAAAATAAAAATCAATCATCTTAATCTATGTATTTTTCCATTGCTCATCTCTTTTCTGCCCTCTGTAAATAATTACCTGTCTGGCACACAAGAAATATGAAAGATATTTCAGCTGGAAGTAATATTTTTCCTTTTTAATATTTTACTTTTGCAATCAATTTAGAATAAACAACAAGACTTTAGAAAAAAGAGTTTTAATGTATCTTCTGATGAAGTGAACAACCTCAAATACCTCCTTTACCAGATTATAAACAATTAAATATCTAGCTTCAGTTTGATTTTTTTCCTGGTGGTTTGATTCAGTTACATTATGTAACTTGGAGAAAGAAGTCTAATTAATGTGTGGGATATCAAAATGTATTGTTACACACAATGTTGTATAGTGTTTTTTTATATTTTCATTTGAATATTGGTCACATTATTAGATTTCTAATGTGTTTTGTGAACACTTGAGACCATTCCTCCACTTCAATTAAATGAGGATGTGTCATCTGAATTTTGCTTTATTGTTTTGTTAATTGCTTTTTTTTTTCAATACAATGAATACAATTACAGTGGAGTTTCATTATGTGTGTAGAACTTTCCGTTCATCACAAAACTTTTTTAAAAAGACAGAATAAGGAATGGGTGTGTGGGGATGTGAAAAAGACTGGCTATCCTTTATTACTTGTTTATGTTTCTTTGCTCTGGTTGGTTTTTGCACAGGAGATCCAGCAGTGAAAAGGTTTACAGTTTTCCTCAGGACACTTAGGTTTTATTTATTTCACTGCATTTCTTTAAAGAATTCACCTGTTGATTAAAGAATGGGAGATCTAGTTTGTGTAGTAATTTGTGGAAATTGAACTGGAGGAGAACAGAGGAGTTGCATATGAGTTTGCAAAGGGGAAAAGAGTTTGGGATTTGTTCTTTTTTCTTTTCTTTAAATGTGGGGACAAAAGATGCTGTTGAGATTTCAAGCAGTTGTGAAGACCCCATAAAGAAGTGTAGAGAAAGTGAAAACTAATGCAAGTAAGAGTGGTGGTACACTGACACTGTTCATTTTATAAATAATGACTAACAGAGGTTATGGCAAAAAAGAATCAAGTGTGAAAGGCACAGGAGAAATGACAGTGGAGCTCAGAGTGGCGTTTGAAAGCATGATATAGGATAGATGGGAGGAAACTGAATGAACAATTAGTGCTGTAAACCTTGCCTCACAGCAGAGTACAGTGTGAAGATCCAAACAAGTAGGTAGTTAAGAAGATAAATCTGAAGAAAAAAATTACTAAGAAAGGGAAATAGGCTGAAGATTAGACGACTTCCATTGGGAAACATAGAGAAGAACATAGCAGGAAAAACAGTAAAAGTCTGGAACTAGTTTCCAAGTAAGGATTGTAGCTGGATACTACAAGAAAGAAAACCCAGAATTATCTGCAAGTTAATTAAAAAAAAATAAATCTGGAAGTTTACACCAGTATCCAGAAGAGGCACGTATATGTGGAGGTGCAATAGATGAGAACAGCATCAGAGTGATGAGAAAAGAATCTTTAGGGAAGCTCCCAAGATGTAACTGTATAGATGGTAATTGTAGAAAGGATCTACGAAAACTGAAATATTAGAAGGCGGCCATTAAGGCAAGAAAGACCTATATTAAAAACTTCACTTTACTGTATGATTCAGAATCCAGACACAAAGTGAGAATTGCCCAGCATCAACCTGAGATGTACAAAATACAGGTTAGCAAATAACTGGTATCCAACAGGGAAAGGTTAAGAGTTTTTCAACTGTATAAATAAAAAGCGGAAATGAAAGGTTGCTGTGGACTGAGAAATGGGTAGTACTCAAGGATGATTTTAAACACTAAAACTGAAAACATACCTAATGATTTGGCCTGGTTTTCAGTACGGATAATGTGGGTTCAGAGGCACTGTGATTAACAGTAATGAGGCATAGAAATGAAATCCATTTCCAAAGGCAAAGCAAATCTCAGACCTCAGCATATTTGGGTTTGGGACATATCAGGGTCTCAGCAGTGGCTCTAGCACATGAAAGTGTGAATTTTGAGTATATTCGTCAAGTTGGGATGAATCTGCATGGTTTGAGGATAAAGTATATGTTACAGCAGAATTAATCCCCTGTGCTCCTCAGAGAGACTGGCTTGCCTTGTCTGCCTAAAAGTTTGTCCATATTAATTTCTTCCATGCGTAAAAAAACACCGATAATTGCTTGTTGAGGGTGGAGACACAGCTCTGAACATTTTCACACCCACCTTGTAAACAGTTCTTCCTTGATTCTTGCTTTGCCCACTTTCTAGATATTCTGTTCCTGGGCGTTTAATGCTGTGTCACTTGTAGGTATTATTTAGATCAGTCTTTTCTGAATTTCAGTAACATTCTTTGCTTGTAACACTGGTTTTACTCATTTTTTGTATCTTTAATTAAATTGGCAAATGTTATTTTTGCGTTGTTTTTTCCTCTATTTTTTTGACCAAATTTGTGTAAAAGAAGGGACATAGCCTTCCGTTAAATCAGAGAATCTCATTTTAATAATTAACATAGATGTACATCTCCAACAGTAGAAAATAAACTGCTGCACTCCGTTGAAAGACTTGTACAAATGAACTGATTCTGTTCTGCCTAGTTCACCTTCTTCGATACATAGGTGTCATAACAGGAGAACAGTTACCTTTATGCAATTCTTCAGGGTGTGGGAGCTTTCAGATCAGCATTCAGATTCAACTAATTTTTGATTCACAATTTCGATTCTCTGTTCTAGGTGTGGTACAACCAAAAAGGTTTCCATTCATTGCCATCCTACTTAAATGAACTCAATAACTTCATTCTGTGGCTGAATTTGCCTCCTGATGTGGATTGGAGACAGTATGGTAATAGTCCATATTTAAACATTTTTTCTTATCTTTTGAAAAGTAGTAATGATTTTAAGTATGAAAATTTATCAAAATATAAAGTAGGATTGCAGTGTCACACATTTCTTGGGAAGATTTTAAAGTGGAACTTTTATTAACCAGCTTTATTTGTATGAAGAATGTAGTACACAATAAGGTAAAATTTGAAATTATAGCTCACTATGCCATTTGAGTTTCTTACAAAGGATTTTCCTGTGGAATAAGTGTAAATTGATTCACTACACTTGGGATGTTAGTCCTTGTGAAATCACTGCTAGGGCTTGCTGAAGTGGGATTATTATTGCACAACAGTGTGTGAATTTATAAATTCTTTGTCACTTTTTCTCCTTGTGTAAATGTCCGGTGTAAATGGAAAGTATCCTGTAAATTCACACTGCAACATGGTGTTCCATAAAATCCTGTTACTCAAGGAACAGGAGAGGCTAGTATGTCTTACTATAGTATGTAACAAAAGAGAGATTAGTATATTTGACATCTGAATTCTCTGACTCAGATGTCCCTGAACTGTATAAGAACTAGTCAAATAAAAATTTTGCAAACAGACTTTTAAAAATATGACTGCAGCTAAAGAATCAGCTGTTAACACAGTTGAAGTATTAGGATGTTGAAATCTCATTTGAAATATGGGTTTGATAATCCATTTCAGTTCCTTTAATTCCTAAGATTCTGTTAAAGAGGAGTTAGTTTGGTTTAGAGAAATTTAAAATTGCCTTATGACCAATTTTTAAGAGTTCTTGAAAAGGTAGAATTGTTGTCTGTAAAGGTAAATGATTTTCAATGTGTTTATAATGAAAAAGGAAGAAAGATGACAAAAATCAGTGAAAAGGGGAAGGAATCCTGGGTATCTGAAAAGAGAAATTCATTAAGAAAAGTTTCTGGAATGGTAATGAAAAAAGAATAATTGCTTGCTTTCAAGGTGACTGGGGTTTTATTCTTTTGACTGTATTATGAGAATGAATCAAAGGTAGCGTATTTCTGCAGAAAGTTTAAATGAAATGAAATCAGGTATTTTAATATGAATTGTTAATAGAAATTAACTTTTTAAATCACTTCTCCCAGCACTTCACGAACAGAGCTGATGCTATCTTGTTTTCTGTAGGGTTAGATATTCCATTCAGGAACTTAAACATTTAAGTAGCATTACCTTTTTGTCTGTCATGGAGAATTGGAGACTTACCATCCATATTACAGTTAGAGAAAATTATAGTTGTCCCAAGGATTGTAGAAATGTTATATTTTGTGTTGTTGCATGACATAGAAACACAATAAGCAAAACAGTGTTTAATAAATATTTGAAGTCTTGGGCTCGATATAAAATCTTCTGGCAGAATATGTTGGCTAAGTCTCTGCAGTAGAGTTTGTGAACTAGAAAGTAGTTTATTTACATGTATATATACTGGAGTGGTGCGATAGGTGGATTGATCATGCTCTGGAGACATAATGTAGAGGGACCTGTGAGAGAAATCCTGGAAAGAGAATGGGAGTTATCTATCTATCTGTATATATGTGTACGTGTGTGTGTGTACACACACATATATGTGTGTTTGTATATATGAGTAGAGCCAAATACATATGTATATTTTATTTAAAAAAAAAACTCAGCAGTTTTCCAAAGCTATACGGGACACTTAGAAGTCAATGTGAATTGAGCTTATCTATCTCTTATTTAAGGATACTACTCTGATGGAGAAGGACCATTTATATGCTTTTCTTATTAAAAATGGTTCTATGCAGTCCTGTAAATTAGCAGTCAGAAAACTACATACTGTGTTTCAACACTGAAATCTATTCTTTTTGATTTTTTTTTTCTTTTTGATTTTTTTTTTCCTCTCTTGCAGACTCTGTTTGTATGCAAGGTCAGTTCTAGAATATTATTGGAAATTGCTCTGAAGAAGATTGTAAGGATGTATTTTTTTTTTCCACAGCATAACTTTTTTTTGTCAACCAGTGCTTCTCTATTACTTTTTTAAGTAACATAAAAATAATTTGACACTTGAAAAGGCACTGTGAAGACACAGTCTTTCCTTTCTTCCTTCACAAAACATGAATCTTCCTTTACTGAAAGAGACTTACTTCAATAGGCAAGAGCATTACCATGGATGTAAAGAAAGTAGCAACTACTATGATATTGAAACAACCTTGAAAGAGGTCAACAGCTTTTTTAAATGCTCATATAAATACTGAGGAACCCTTTCACTTAGCAGTTATATCCTGTGGGTAGTTCTTGAACATGAACCCAGTTGGAGTTTTCCCAAGTTGTCTGAAGGAGGGAAGAGTCATTGTAGACAGTGTGCCTAGTTCTACCTGCTTTGCTTACAGGGACAGACCTAGTAAGTTCCATAGGAGATCAGTAGTACCGGTCCCAGATTCTGATAGGTTTTAGTGATAAGGAGCTGAGAAGCAGGCTAAATGCTTTCATCTAATGTCTTTTCTTCAGTCAAGAGGATACAGGAAATGTAGACTTAGGTGTTTTTATGGAGAGTTTTCAGGAAGAAGTTGTACCCAAGCATACAGAGGACATATGCTACCTTGCACTGATTTATATCCTAAGGGATTTGTATCTGTTCAAAAACTGTGAAAAAAAAAAATAATGAGTGTCTGTGCAAGTTACTGACTCTTGATCATCCTGAGCTAGCAAGAGCAGCAAATGATAGTTATCTGATGATCAAAAATACTTCCTGTTTATTGTTGTGTAATTTTATCTTCACATCCTTTCTTTGCAAGTAGAGAGATTTCTCTTTTACCCACCCCGTATGGGTTTATCAGTAAGCTTCTCTGTGAGGATGCTTGGAAAGTTACAATGTTTGCTTCTTGTAATTTTCATGTAAAGAGTGCTATGGTTGTTGAAGAAAATGTGTGTGCCAGCTGGAGGTGTGTGTAAATAGACAGAGCAAAAGAAGTTAGCCAGATTGATTTACACTGATTTATCATAGCTAACGGATCAGATGTCTATTTGGAACAACAGTTCAAGAATACTTCTTGTATGAAAATAACTCTTCTTCTGTACCATGTGGATAACTACCTTCAGCTTCATAAACATGTAAATTGTGGAAAAAATCTAACTCATCTGTCTTACTGGAAAGGAAACCAATTACATTTTGTTTTGTAGTGGGTTATAAATGCACTAACAGATAATTAAAATGAACATGTTAAATAATGAAAGTGAGAAATACTATTCAACAGAGAACGTAAGATGTACCGGGTTTTTGTCCAAACTCTCCAGCTCTGGCTGGTCTTCTAGCTTGCGTGAATGATGTTTGAATGTTTCCAAATCTCTTTCTGAAATGCTACATTCCTACAACTAGATAATGTAATTGTGAACAAATAAAAAATGGAATAATGAAGCAAGAGAAATTAAAAAAAAATTGAAGGTAACATTTTTACTGAAGCTTAAGACAGAAATTCTGATCGAGTAAAATGTTATTTTTCACACCTAATTGTGTACAGTTAAGTCAGAATATCTTTATCGTGCTGGAATGTAGGGGAAGGACTGTTACCTACCTCTTAGGGTAAGGCTGTATAAAGAAAACAGGAGTGCTAGTCATCTATAATGACATCTGTAAAGTACAGACATCAAAAAAAGTTCTTACATCATTACTCAAAGAACAGAAATGTATGAATATAGAAAGGCCTTGTGCGATGCAGCTGCCCGATCTCGGGACTTCAAAAGAAGTCACTGATTTTTCTTAAAAACCTTTCATGCTAGGGCTCATTGTAAGTGTTCGTATGGCATCCTCATTTATTTCAGATTCAGTTCCTCAAAAGAACTGGAACGATCAAGAGACCCATTTTCATCTGAGTTTTGGTGGAAAGTGACTTCATAGTTTCCTGATTTCTTTGCAAATCCTTAATTTAAACCTCTTTTCAAAGGAACCTGTGAAATGCCATGTAGTAGGAACCTTTTTAACCACGTCTGGTTAGTGGGGGGAAAGTAAAAATCATTAATGAGGATGCTGCCTGTGAAATTCTCCATAAAATGTAAGTTGCAATTTTCAGTAAACAGTAGTGTCTCATTTTATACAAACAGAAATCTCATAATAAATTTTAAATGCCCACAAAGAAGAGCTTGTAAAAAGTGTATATAAATAATCTACCTCCATTTTTGTTATGCATACTATTTTATTTTATTCTAACGTACTTTTTTCTAATCTGAAAAAAAAATGTTTGGAATAAAGAAACCTAGATTTATCTTCTATTCACATCTGTAACAATTATGGTTTTAGAATTAGAAGCACAGATCCCAATTGATCGATCTACTCAAGACTCAGCACGTTATGTGACAGAAAGAAGAGACAGTTTACAAAGGAGTGCAAAGAGACGGGCTCAGAAACACCCAAAATACAGTGCAGAACTGCAAAACATACCTGGGGACAGCTCTGATTAGCCTATGGTGATGACATAGAAGCTTGAAGACCCTTGAGCTTTTTTTCCTCTGGATCTCTCCACCCTATACTGAAAAAGTACTGCTTGGTTCATATCACTGTCCTCATTTTTATGCAAACCCACAGGTTTTGTAACGTGTGATTATGTGGAAAGTTGCACCCAGGCAGGATGGAGTGGGCTACCAGCACCTCATGTTCTTTCTAGCCCACAGGAAGGAAACATTCCAAGTCTCTAAGACTACGCCAAATTTCTTGTGGCCTTCTTTTATGACAGATGGTCAGGTGGTTTAGATTTGAAACAGAAGATCTAGAGCACTTTCTCCTGAAGGTACAGTTTGCAGACTGTTAATCAGGCGTTGGTGTGGGGAAAGGTGTCCTGAGTTGTGCAGATGCTGAATGGCGACACGACAGGATTTTTTCCTGCTACAACCAAGATGCTGTTCATTTCAAATGTCTGTAATGTTTTTCCTTGTGAACTGTCCTATCCAGAAAGGAAAAGGATAGTATTTTATCCTAGAGAATGTCATATTGCTTATAACATTCTACGAAAAATTTGTTTCACCAGGCTAGGGATGCCTATTTAACATATTAATGAGTCTAAAACTAGTTTAATTAAGAACACTGTAAGGACAGGAAGAGGATTTTTCAGCCTGGAAGGGAGAATACTAAGGAGAAATCACGGAGCAGCTGAAGAGGGTACAATTAAATGTTTATTGCCTCTTCTACTATTAAGCATGTAGCGTGGAGCACCTAGTGGCATTTCCAGTGTAAATATTTCCCCCCAGTTATTCATGCAATTTATAGTTAAATTGTGAAGCTCTGACTACTTCACTACTCTTTTTTCCTTACTGATGTGGCTTGCAGAACTGATAAAAATGCCCTTGTTTCTCAGTTGTGTAAAGACAAGTCTTTCACTGAGCAACACAAAAGATAGCAACTGAGCCTTTTACCTACACAAAAAAAAGAAAAAATAACATGTGAAATAAAAGTAGTTAACTGTAAGCAAAACAACAGAGGACAATATGAAAAAAAAAGTTTCTTAGCTGAAAACCAGGTAAGAAAATGTATTACCAAAATAACTTGTTCTTTCTGTTGAGATTGACATTTGGCTTCATTCCTGTTCAGAGCTATACATGCATGCATATATATCAATTAACATGTATACAGTCATGTTTGTTTCTTTGAGACGTCCTCATTTTCACTCCACTCTAATTGCAGAAATGGTGCCTCTCATTTCTCAAGCTCTTTATTTTTGCATTGAAGAAGGTTAAAAGATCTAAGAAAGTCTTGGCATCATGGTGTTCACTTACTCTCTGAATACAGCATTAAAACCCTGATACAGTATAAGGATCTCCATGGTCACTGTTTTTTGTGTTCTTGAATTGCTTATGCAGGGCTTTGGAAAGACTGGAATTGGTGGCTATCACAAATTTTCACCTATGCCCATAAAGAAACCTAAATTGTCACTGTAAAAATAAAGTGACCAACTCTGTGACAAAGACAAAGGATATTTTAGGACATTTGGGAAAACTCTGGTTGTGATGAAATCAGGAGAATATAATGTCAATCTGTAGATGTGGGAGAAATGATTTTATATTGAGAACTTTACGAAAAGGAACAGTCAGAGTATAGAGCTGAATCGTACCATATTTGTTGAGGTTGCCTGTCTTGTTTTTCCCTTGTGAATACTGATTTGCTAAAATCTGCCTTGAAGGCTGTTCACACAAGGCTTGCAAACACAATACTTGAAAAAATCCTTGCATAAACACTACATACATCTGTTACTATGTGCTTTGTCATTTAGAACTTCTTGGTTTATCTGTCATTTATGGTTTTTATTTTAATTTCTCAAAGATAGTGTTTAGTTTTCAACTTAATGAGCATTGTTATAGCAGCTTTACATGGGAAGAAGGCATATAAAGGCAAGAAAGCATCAATAAGTACATTTTACATCATGTTAACAGCTATACTGGGACAGAGGTAAGTGGAAGATGGTCTACGTGGTAAGGAGAAATTTAGGAAGGGATAGATTATAAAAACACAGAAGTTTTTTTTTTCATTAAAAAGTATATATGCTAGCAAATAGCATAGATCAAGTGAGTTGGCTTATTTTGTTATTGGAAGATAGTTTAGAATTTACTCCTTTTTAGGTTCAATGGAACTTTTTTCTCTCTGTGAATTACAAGCCAGTTTGTTAGCTTTATATAAAGTCATCATATATTTTTGGACAATTTGGAAAAGGGAAGAAATCATTCTACTAAAATATGTAGCAAAAGCAGAAGACTCGCATGCTCCAGACTAAATGAAAAATTTAAAATAATGAAAGGCAAGCATTATATTTAATGCATTCATAGAATTTTGAATTCTAACATAGAACTGAACTGAAGTTAACATGGTCATACTTTGGTTAATTGTAATTCAGCATTGCTGGGAAATTTGATCAGTTGTGTGTGTAAATTTTCAAAAATGAAACCCTTTGTTTCATCTACATGGTCTGAATAGAAATTGACTGTAGAAAATGGTCACTATGTTTAAGAAGAGCAATTGCTTTTTGGGACTTGCATTGCAGGAAATTAATTCAGTACAATTTGCTTTTTGATCAGTATTGTATGATACAAGACTGCAAGGAGCATTATGCTATTTAATGCCGTGGGTTTTTTATTTCCCCTAGCAACTATCTCTTTTTCACAGTCTCTGTTTATTCTGTATTTCTGTGTATGAAACCCAAGTCAACTGCTGTAGACTTCTGTTAAATAGCAATGCAGTAATCTGAAAGCTTTGCTCGTTTTGTCTTGGGATCTATGCACTTCATAGGGACAGGCCATGGTGATTTCAGGAGCGAGATTATTTCCAGACACATTAAATGTTCCTGAGCAGAAGTCATTCCTTGTAAAATATTTGATGTCATTTTTGTCTTTGTTATGTTTTGTAAGTTTCATGAATTCCCTCTGGGGCTTTCTGAAAAAGTTTCAACAGTGCAGATGACCTTATCCTACAAAATTAATTGACTAAGTTGTCAAAATATCCAAGTTAGTAAACCTATGTTTATGAGCATGAATTCACTTGCATAGGAACTTGCACAAGCATGAATTCATAGCTATGTGGTTTTTTTGCTTGTAAGTGTTTTTCTTGCTGAATACAGCAGATGATAGTTGATAGCAGTAGAGCAATGGGACACGATTCAACTCAGCCTGGATTAATTAATGGAATTTAGTGGAGGATCTTCCTGAATTCCTGGCAAACTGCCCCAGTTCTGGACACTTGATGGGCAATAATTCTCTACCACAGTCTTCATGACAGGTTTACCTGTCTCACAGTTCTGGGAAAAGGGATGTGAATCATTATGACCTATAGGTGTCCAAGTCTTGGCATTTGCTGATCATGGCCAGTATTTTAAGATTTGATATCTCTAAAAATGTTACCCCCTGAGCTGGAGCAATTTTACTATAGGATTTCTGTGATCTGAAGCTTGAGGGAGGTCAGCTTGGTTAGGGTATTCAAATTCTTGATCATGAAGGCAAGACCTTGACAATCGTGGGAAGATCCTCTGTAACTAGAACTTGGCTCATGGCCATAAAAGAGGAGGCCTGGAAGACATCTGCTCTTTGACAATTTAGCTGAGCACCAGTGAGTACAAGAAGTACATTTCATGTTGTTAACTTCTTGGTTTAGTGTCTCTGAAATTATCAGGGTTCATATTTTCCAAAAGGTTTCCTCATTGTAATTGATGAAGTCTGAAAATCAGATCTTTTTTTCTAACCAGATCTGAAAATTAGTTCAGATTTATTTCATTTTGTTTGTACAGAAAATAACTGGTTTATTTCTATTTTTGGTTACTAATTTCTAATTCAGTAGGAATCCTATATATGTATATGAAATAAAGGCATTCTTCTAATATGCACACCTTTATTCAACCATTTGAAAAGCTTAGAAAAAACTTCTGGGAATGAAGCTTTTTTCTATCATGTTACTTTTCCTTTATGTAAATGGAATTTTAGCTAATGCTTGGTTCCAGTGGGGAAAAATGTTTTCTTTGATATGTTAGTTTTTGCTTTAAAACGAATAGCAGCTACTGTTTAAAAAGTTAATGGTGTAAAAGAAAAACAAAGGAAAATTTTAAACAATCCTTCTAGGCAAATGACATGAAAGACTTCTGCAAATAGCACGTGTATCTACTAGTGATGAATCATAACCTTATTGAATTGAATCTTTTTTTGATTTTTTAACTACTGTTGGGCTTCGGTGTGCAGCTTTTAACTGTATTTGAAAAATCTTTACCTTGTACTAGCTCTGTGTGCAAGTTAATCACCATCCTTTGTTGTTCAGCTTCTTACCTCACAGTGACTTAGTGATGTTTTGATTACTTTGGCTTGAAGATTAGGAATGAAAACTTAAAGGGGCAAAAATAAATGTGTAGATATACTCAGTCAGACTGCACCTGTTACTGGAACGAAGACACTTTTTATCTTTGTACAGCTGGACTCTAACAAAGTCTGACAAAGTGTGTTCAATTAGGTGGCACCCTGCAGAGTCCCTCTAAGGCTACCAACAATTTATTTCTTTGCCAAAGATCCTGGAAAGATTATAATTGCCGTTAGGATGAATTTTTTTTATTCATTCTTTTTCATTGAGAACAGCATAGATTTATTTAGATAGTGCTGGTTTGATTTCACTGCAAGAATTTCCAGTTGGTATTACATTACAGCTGACAGACCTGTCTAGCACAGATAGAGAAATAAGTCAGGAAACAGCAACAAGACTAGTTGGACAGCAACTTCTGCACTAACAAAGTTTTGCACATACTCCTCCACCACCCAATTTTTCTTCTTTTACTTGGGGAAAAAAAAAAAGCAAAAAAAGCCACAGTTTTTGTCCTAAACTGTCTTCCAATTCCGAAGTTCAGTTTGCTAGATTGTTACAGGCTGGTTGTACCAAGAGCCAAAATAAGCCTAAGAAAGAATTGCCTCCTTGGGGTTTTTCTTGGTCTCCTGAACTGGTTATCTTTTTAATTTAAAGCTCTACAGTTTCATTCTGAGGTGTGCCTTTTTTTAAATGTGAATTTAGCTAAACATTTTTTTCTCTCCAAAACATCAGAAATCTAAAAATGCATGATATATAAAGTATATAAATTTCAGTAGAAACCTACCTTACTCCAGAATATTAGGTATATGAACAAATTCTACTTTAGGTTTTGTGTTTGGTCTCTTCTGTGATGTAGATCCTGCAGCAATATACAACACTGTTGAACCCATTTCTGCAGTTCAGAATGCAGAAAAGCAGCTGTTACCTATGTTTATTCATTAGATGTTTGGTGGATCCGGAGTCTGAAAATCGATCAACAGGAGACAGTATTTGGTCTGGCAGCCTGGTGGTTGAACTCTTTCTGTTGTTTATTAAGTATTTAGCCTTTTCATTCATCTTGTGTAATAAGGGGTAAACAGTGTACTCTAGAACTTGAAGTCCTTACATAGCATTTACTATTTCATAATTTATTTCTGTTCTCACAGGGATCACACTCTATAGCCAACCATATGGGGGAGCTTTGCTGGATGAAGACAAAATGTGAGCAAACTCTTAAAATATTTAACAGTTGCAATGAGGAGACAATTTAAGCTGTTAACTCAATAAGCATGTGTGTTGCATGCAATAGGTGTTGTGACTTGATACATGCAATTCTGTTCCAGTGAGTGAAGTGTTTTCTCTAGTCTGGTGTTTATATGTCAAGTCTACTGTTTATATCAGATATGGTTGCCTTATTTTGTAGAGAAAATCATTGAATTTATGCTGACTGCACTTTAGGGAGTGTTTGTGAGCAGGTCATGACATTTTCAGACAGGTTAACTGTTTTAAATGATTGTCAAGTTTTTAAACTTTATTTTTTTTGTACAAGGGGAAATATTTGCAAAAGCTCCACTTTACCATTCAGACTTTAAACACATGCTGTGTTGCATAACTCATGTATAGTGTTGTAACTTAATACATCATGTTGCTCCTGTTCTCTAGTTAGATGTTGATAGTGTACAAACATGCTGTTTGCAAAGATTAAGGTCCTAATATTTAGTGTTGGTTTGGTAATAAGTTATCCTTGAAAATGTTTGAATTGGGTAATTTTTTTTTTTCCTCCACTGTCCTTTCATTATGCCATTTTGTTTTGTACCCTAGAATGGAGAATGTTCGTCAGTGTGGGGTAGCACTGTGTATCATGTTGGGTTTCTCCATCCTTACTGCATCCATTGGAAGTGCCATAGTGAAAGACAGAGTATCTGGCACAAAACGCTTGCAGCACATCACAGGCCTGGGTTACAAAACTTATTGGTTTGCTAATTTCTGCTGTGATATGGTATGTATCATGTGGGACAGCATGTGTTCAGGTGCACATTTTTAACTAGTTTGTCATAAATGAGCAAAAGGAGATATGGTCACAAGGCATGTGAATAACATTTGAATTGTGCAGAGCAACTGCTCTTCGCTGTCATGTTAACTAGCATTGGGACACCACTCCTACTTTAATGCTGTCAGATAAAATTCTTTCAGGCAGGGATTGTGTTCTTCATTTTCCAAATTTGAATTGTAAGGTAAAGCATGTGATAGCTTTAGGTACCTACACTGTTTTACAAATAAAAGGAAGCTAGCTGATCAACTTAGGGAGAATCTTCCACACAACAGTTCATAGCAGGAGTTTCTGTGCTTTGAGTTGCCACTGGCAAAATCTTTCAGATTATTGGAGAAGACTGAAAATACTAGTCAGCTAACTTTAAAGGCATAATTATGTTCTCTGTTGGTGGGTTATATGAGATACTCATAACTGGTACCTTTTATTTCAGGCAAGAGAGACAGTAGGAAATGTTATACACAGAATTACCTAGATCAGAAATAAGTAAAGTCTCTGTCCTGAACGTTTATTTTTCTCACGCAAAGTAATTTATACCCTTGTTAGCACTAAAAATGGTAGTGTCTGCAGTTCATTAATAAACCTGAAAATCTTCTCTTCTGTTGAAAAGAACACAAAAAATATTATTTTTGCAAGTCTCACCCTGGAATTTTTGCTTACTTTCAAGCCTGAGAAGCTAATTTCTGTTCAGGCCAGTTAGCAAAGATCATGAAATAGAATTAACTTTCTCAAGTCACTGCTAGTCCGCAATCACTGATTTTTCATTGGTTGTACAATGGAGCTCTTTTGGATGCCATTTAAGCACAAATTCCACAAATTATCTTAAAATATATTTTTCAAAGGTGACTTTTTAAAAACTAAAATTAAAAATTGCTCCATTATACATGTGTGTATGTGTGTGTGTACATATATATGGCATACATATATGTCCCTTACTGAAAGACTTTTTCATAATTCGCTTGTGATGAGGCTTGCTATAGTATTAGTTGACTGTTTGGTGGGAATTTGAGATTAGGTCATTTACTTTTGGGAAAGGGATAAAATTACTCTTTGTAAAGAACTAGGATGCTGTGTGTTGATCGTTTATGTCTCAAAGAAGGCATTTTGGATTGGGAGATTGATATCAGAGGCAATAGTGAACAATTGAAGTCACATGGCTTATTCAAAAGTAAAAAGACTTCTGGCCTCACAGAAGGGACATGAACTTTCTACACCTTATTTAACACACTGGGTCATGGAAGGAAGGGCTGGGATCTAGCACAGGCAACACAAACATGAACTAACCTGATCAGGAACAGAGATTTTTGGAACACTCGCTGTTCTCATGCAGACTATTCAAAATTTGAAACATCAGAGCTTCACCCATCCATGCTTGAAATCAGGATTTTCACACCTGAACAACTTGAAGTAGGAGTGCGTTTCTCCAGACTTTACTTGGCCAGTAAATCTTTGTCTTCCTTTTTCTGATGCGTTAGATAAGAGGGCTTGGATAAAAACCTCAGTCCTTCATCATTCAGCTTCTCCTTGTGCAGCAAAGTCAACTGCTCGTTATTTTCTGACAGTCTCTTCCTTTCAAAATGTTCTCACAAATTCAGCACAGTACTGCATGATCAATCATGATCTGGGAAAGAACAGACGCTGCTTTAAATGCTAATTGTGCTGCAGACCATTTAGGGACATTGAACACATGAATATATGAACTGTCGTATTTGAAATCCCTCTACATATTTTAAGTATTACAAGCTGTGTCCTGTATTATTTGTGGCATAATCTTTACTAGACCTGCAGAAGTATTTGATTGATGATATTGCTGTCATGAGAATCAGGATGTTCTTCCTGTATTTATACATGTGAATGGTATTCTTCACTATGTTCAACAAATGGAAGATGTGTAAGTGCTAAGAAAATTTCATGACAAATAGAGATGTTTTGTTCAGATTAATGTTGTGTCACTAGAGGCCAAAATTAAGGTTATTTTATCTGTACATGCCCAACTTCTATAACACACCTTGCTTTCAGGTAAGATTTCTAAGAAAATTTAATGTTTAAAGTTATTTATTTACTTATAGAAAAGTGTCCTAGATCTGTTGAAACAGACTGGGACTCAGATGCTTTGTGACTTCTCAACCATAATTTTTAAACAGCTCTAGGACAGCTGAAATCTAAAACTGTGGAGTGGTGTGGTGTGATATTTGTATAGGGCACTGAATAAGGTACACTGTGAACAAAACAAGAACATTACGTCTGCCTGCATTTCACTCCTTTGCTCTTCTCCTAAAAAAAGCTCTGTCTTCCCACTGGCAAAGAAGTGATGCCCTCTGGTTTGATTTTGAACAGGTTTGCATTGTATTTCTGTATGAAAGTCCAAATTTAACAGTAAGGATGTTGTTCTTTTACACTGAATATTTAGCTAGACCTTGATTTGTTGCCTCTATTGGAGTTGCATCTCGGAATATGTTATATTAGGATAAGGTTAAAGATTATATAAGCAGAAATGGAGGCAGGCACTGCCCTAATGAGCTCAGCTTCAAGGCACAGAGCAGGTGGTCATTGAAGATGGAATTGAGCATAGTTGTTCACATCTTGCCATTGCTAGTTGCAAGCAGAACCTGTCTCTCTTGAATACTTGCATATGAACCCCCTGTACCAATCATATCCTCCCCTCTTTAAGTATTTTGTGATCATTATGTCAAGAGGTTTGACAAAGAAACCACTTTCTCTGTTGTCTAATGGCTGTAACTCTTCTAAATATTATGTCTGTTCCCATTAAAAGTTGTCATTTGCTTCATCAACACACATGGTCCTTCATTAAAGTCTCTTTTAAAATTGTATCCTCACTATTCTCTCAAGACTGAAGCACCAATCAGTGAAACTGCTATTTCTGAATCCAAGACTCTGCATTCACAGTATAATTTGATGTTTTGGAGCAATAGTCCCTGATGGACTCATTATCTGGAAGAGTTAGCTTGTTAAATGGATGTATTGGAAAGGTCAATAGAAATGGAATTAAGGGGAATATTCTGTACTTGGATTTTATTTTGTCAGGCTGTTTCATGTGTATCTGTGTAAGAGGGGCAGTTTCACAGCAAGTGTGGACTATGAAATCTCAGAGATCTTCTGCCTAATTCTTACTAATTTGGTAGTGTAATTATATTGCAGATATGAAAAAGTTAATTTATAGACCCATTCTATGCTAATTAAGTAAGACCAGTAAGAGACACTCACCTGCTAAGTGCCTTTTTTCTTTTGTTTCTAGCTGGTTTACATGGTTCCAGTCACCCTGTGTGTTGGTGTTGTTAGTGCCTTCCAGCTATCAGCCTTCACTTTCCGAAAGAACTTGGCAGCCACTGTTCTCCTGCTGATACTCTTTGGGTATGTGATTAGAAATGCTACTATGGAATTATAGGTTGTAAGAAACAAACAGAAATCTTTAGACTTGGTTTGCACCTGCTGCTGGATGCATGATTTTCTCTCTTTGGAAATGATTATGATTCAGCAAAAGATAGTGAGAAAACAGACTAAAACACGTGTCTGAAAGTTCCATGTGGAAGGTGGGGGGAGATTTGCTCATGCATTTAAAAAAAAAAAAAAGGAGGGGAAAAAGAAAAGGACTGAAATGTATCAGAAATTACTCAACCTGTATAACAATCATTTGGTGTTAGAAATTGATTGTATGTTATCTTCCAGAAAATGAGGGAATTATAACATGGTCAGGTCAGAATTTCAGTGCTTAGCTGTGCAGAATATCATCAAGAAGATAAAAAGTGGCTGTCTTTTATTACAGTTCTACCCGTTTTCTGTAATTTTGTAATTTTACATAGCTCCATGAATTTGTATTTCCAATCAGAAGTCTATCCAATGAGGAGTACTGGGCTGGCTGGAGATTTGTCTCCAGATAGTACTGCGAGCAAGTCCTCCCATACTACCCGCTTGCTTAGTTTCACATGAAAAAATCAGTTATAAAAAGTTAAAACAGCTGCTTAAGCAGAGGATTAATTTCTTTGTAGAAATAGGGCTGTTGAGCCATGGGCTCAGTCAAACTAATGATCTGTCTCCTCTGTTCCTTTAACTCTTCCTATGTGCAGTTCCAGGTGATGTGAGAAATGCTGAAGATGAATAGTTACAGGATAAGCATTCTGAGAAGAAGTTTCTTCCTTATCTCAAGCAACTCGTTGCTATCTTTGTAGGGGGAATGCATATTTTACAAGACAGTTGTTTAGATAATGAAATATAACTGCTCCATGAGAGAATCACAGGGAAGTATGTAGAAAGGACCTTCTGCAATATCAGGACAAAATCCATTCCAGGAAGACTTAGATAAACACTTTAAAAACATCACCTTACTCTACTTCACCTTGAAACTGTTTTCAAGGTCTCATGCCTCCAGCAATTCCTTTTTTTTTTGGAAAACTATTTCAGTATCTCCATATCTGGAAGTATTTGAAATTCCAGCCTAAGTTTATTTGGAGCTATACTTCAGAATGTTCCTTCATCAAACCACTTTTGCAAGTCCAAAGAAGCCAAGTCCTCTCTTGTAAAAATGCCTTGGTTCCAGGGTCTTGTAAATGACTCAGACAAAACATCCCAAGTCCATACTTTTCTCCTCTCTGTATCAGTCTTGTCTTCCTCCTCCTTCCTTCTGCACTACTGCCAATTCATTCCTTCAAGTGAAAGCCAGAAATTCTTGTCAGTCTTAGTGCAATGACTTTACTAAATCTCCTCCCTGTTTTTTTTATTACCTGTACAACTGTTGAATCCTTCTTGTAATCCAGTTGCTCTGATCCTAGCATAAAAATAGGCATCTGTAGAGATCTTAGTCAAGCAGCAAATGATCCATACAGTACATACTTGTATGTTTGCTGAAGTCAGGACTTATTTTCTGTGGTGTGCTCCAGGCTTTAGTCCTGCCCACAGTGTACTGCTAAATCCCAGATTCTAAGAGTTATGCTTGCATTGTTTTAACCAAAATGTTGAGTTAAAGACTGGATATTTCAGAAGAAACAAGCGTTTACTGAAAAGCTGGACTGTCTTCTAAAATTTTTTTTGTTGACTGTATATGCATCTTAATCACCTCAGTATAATCCCTCCTGTACTATTCAGCTTTGGCTGACATAACAGATAATACAGTGATTTTTAACAAGAAGGTCTATATATTCTATGTGTATTAACATGTATTAAAGATACAATAACTGTTAGTCAGTAAGTTTAATGTGTCTCAAGGACACCCTGATAAACTTCATAGTTGTCACTCTTCCTATTCCACCCTTTATTCAGGCTAACTACACAGTAAGTGTGATGACACCTATTGTCGTTTTATCCTTCCCCAGTACTGTGTACGTAATTCTCATTTATCACCATTCCATAATGCATTTTTTCAAGTTAAAATTTTATTTTTCCTCTTCAGGGTACACTTGTGCAGCATTTCTGATCTAGAATAAAGATAAAAACAGGTCGGTTACACAAAAAAGTGAAGTTATGTGCCAGAAGGGGGTGTGCTTGAAAGAATAATCAACAATTTCATGGTGTTCTGCTTTACAACTGATTTCTTTAAAAATGTAATGATCTTTTAACTAAACTGTTTTTTTTCCTCTTTTAGCTGACAGCAGAAGTGTTTTATAGTGCAACTGCTTAAGCACTTTTGTCCAAAATGCTCTATCTTCGATACTTACAAAATCACTAATTACAGCTGAAGCTGAAGGAAAAGAAAGACTTGGGATAGGAATGTAGGTGTGAATGGCAGCTACTTTAAAGGCTGCGTTTGAACATCACGCAACTTCAGTATTCTGAAAGTCTTACTCATTTCTTAGCAGCTATAAGCAAACAAATCAAATTCTGCTGTCATTTACAGCAGAGTAACAGCAGTCTAAATCATGTGTCTTTCCTGAGTTGTTTCCAAGGATGGACTTGTCTTGTATTTGTGGTATTGTAATTGAAAGCAAAACTTGGAACGGTGATATTGGTATGTGCACAAAGGGAAGAAAAGATTGTGTGATTAAAACTGACAACAGTATGCTGAAACCTATAGTGTGATCTTGAATACTTACAGTCTTCACTTGAGAACCAAACATTAAGTCATCTAACCTTTATCTTCCTGTAAACTGAGGATAGCATCGCTATTTCTTCACAGCAGGATTTGAAAGTTTGTTACTTAAGGTGAGGGATTTTGGAATTCTTAGATGAAAAAAGTTCACCTGTGAAATACACAATACTGAAAAGGGACTTCTACGGTTCATAATCTGAACTACTGTTTAATGCAATGAAGAACTGAATTCACAGATTTTTGGCTAGTTGCTCTTGCATTGAGCTAACTATTAAAACAATTTTATCTACTTACATCAATACTGTATAAGAAGTATTTATATCTATAACTCTATGTATATACTGTATATATACTTATCATCATGCAATGGTGTGTGCTGATACCTATGCTCCTGCAGTCTATATGCTGTTTATCTGATAGATATCTCTTGCACTATGCTGAAGGGAAAAGAAATTTCCTTTACATCACATTCATGTTCATCAAATTGCCTGGGCTTTGTTTTAGTCCACCTAGACTTAGCTAACACTCTATGAAAAATATGTCTGCTCCATTTTGAATAGGTGTCGTTTGACTTGCCAGAATGGAGGACACCTTCGCTCCTCCTTTAAAGATTTGCATTGAGAACAATGTAACTGTAGACACACTGTCTTATCGTCACTGTGCTATGAAGTGACTATGCACTTGTTTTTGATGGCTACTACTTTACTAACTGATACCCTGTTTTACGCAATAACAATGCTTCGTGACCTCTGGCAAATTTCAGTTCTCAGATATCTCTGGCACAAATATTAGTTCCACTTCAAGGATTAAAGATTTTTTCTTCTTTTTCTTTCTTTTTTTTTCTTTCTCTTTGGTCACTTTCTGCTTCCTTTTTTGTTCTTTTTTCTCCCTATGAAAGCATCTAAGAAAAGCTGATTGCTCAGCATCCATGATTTAAGCTTCAAATATTTGGTTTTAATTCCGTCTCTGTAAGAGGCTTGTTAAGGTGCATGGTTTCGCAATCTTTTGGAAATTAGGGTTGTGAGCTTTCTGGAACAATGAAAGTAAATATTTGCAGCTGATATATGCAAAAACAGATTGTATCTGCCCATCACATGGCAGTAGCTGTGTGTACCTCTATGGAATGAGAAGGTAGTTTGGCAAGGAAAACATATCCCAAATTAGTCCTTTTTTCTCAGTTGGTCAAAAGAGTTGTTTGCATATCTTAAAAATACGGAGAAACTATTGGGTTTTTTTCTAGTATGATGAATGTCTCATGTTTCCAACTCACAAAAAAATTGCTATTTGTAGTAATTTTGTTTCTTTAAACTTTCAGGTATGCTACTTTACCATGGATGTATCTTCTATCCAGATTCTTCTCCAGTTCAGATGTAGCTTTTATTTCTTACATTTCCTTAAATTTTGTCTTTGGCCTGTGTACCATGCTGGTGACTCTCTTACCTCGTTTGTTAGCTATAATTTCCAAAGTGCAGGTCAGTATAAAACCTTTGCTTTACATTACCCATAAGGGAGATGTATGCATACACATGCATGTGTGTGTATGTTTGTATATATACATATGTATGTTTATACATATGCGCAGACAAGATTTTTTCCTACAGAAAAACCTGTGTTTTAAACATCTATGATTTTTCTGCCCTAGTATATACTATATTGCTTGCTACCATCTTGAATTATAACTTATTTATAACAAAAACAAATAAATTGTAATAATGGAAAAACAGCGTTAATTGAAACCTTGACATTTTCCAGACCATTAAGTTGTAATTGTCACATAATGGCAGCTGTTCTGGTCCATTGACTAGATTACATGCATTGTAAAATGTGTTCAAATAACATTGACATAAGAGATAAGCTGCATATTGCTAGGATCTGTATTGCACTATATGAATAGTAACATGCATTCTCACTCCATGTATGTAATTTTCATTAGTGATAATGGTAATTAAGCAACTTGTTGGAGAGGAGATCCAGAATGTGTATGAAAATCTATGTATATATCAGGTCAAAAACTTTTGTGTTTGAAGTCAAGTCTGGATTACATGTCACTCACGTTTGGAGGCAGATCTGGTGTTGACTTGGGTTTGAGTTTTAAGGTTTAAGAATTAAAAGCAGTCAAATATTAAAATTTTAACAAAATAGAATGATCACAGCCACATGTGTTTGGTTACTGTCTGTGAGCCTCAACTAAAATTGAAATCATATGGCCCTAGGCAGTCTCAAATACAATAAAAGATGAACTCTGCCCCAAAATAGTTCACTATACGCTCTTCTGAAATCTGTTCGCTTTGAGTAGGATTTGAATGCATTATCCAGCTTTGTACATTTGCTTAATATGCTATTGGAGAAAGCTAATTTTTTTCCTTTTGTTTTCTTCCCCTCTTCTTGCTGAAACTTAATACAGAGTTTTCAGAACATCTACAAAATCCTCAAATGGGTGTTCATCGTATTCCCACAGTTCTGCTTAGGCCAGGGTTTAATAGAACTTTCATATAATCAGATCAAGTTTGACCTGACCAGCAACTTTGGAATAGATTCATATGTGAGCCCCTTTGAGATGAATTTCCTGGGCTGGATCTTTGTGGAAATGGCCTTGCAGGGAACACTGCTTCTGCTGTTACGACTTTTTCTTCATTGGGATCTCCTCCAGAAACAAAGGTGTGTTATCATTTGTATTCTGCCATAGTGGACACTGGACTAATTTTTAAAGAAATAAAATGGTGGATTCATTTGAACACATGAAGATAAATATTTCTGGTAACATGGTGTACCTGAATTAGTGGACACTGCAGAAAAAATACAAGTAGTTGATGTTTCCCTTGGATTCTGCTGAGATTTTATCACCAATCTTTAAGACGTTGCAACCAGGGAAATAAAACAGAGTTATCCAGAGTACAGCAATGTCCAGTTTGCCATGCATCATTTGTTACTATCTTCTGTTTTAGGGGTCAATGTTCAGTTAACAGCATGGCCAGCCTTTCAGAAGATGTTGATGTAGAAATGGAGCGGCAGCGACTCTTTGGTGGAAGAACTGGTAATGATGTCCTCCTTCTGTATAACCTCAGGAAGTGTTATGGAGGTTTCAGTAAGAACAACACAGCTGTGGAAAGCATAAGCTTGGGAATATCGAGGGGAGAGGTAAAGAGGTCTCTTTTTTCCTTTCAGAAAATAACACTTCATTCTGCGCAATTGTTCAGACATACTCAGGATGTCTACAGTCAAAGATCTGTAGATAGCAGCAGAACAATTTCAATTGTAGTAATTTCTGAAAATCAATAACTGGATAAAAGCAGAAGCTCTGGTGGTGTTTAAGAAGCAACAGTTCACTTATTTTTTAGGTTACTGTACTGAGTTGACATGGCAAGATTTTTGCAGCAGGGGGGGCTACAGGAGTGGCTTCTGTGAGAAGCTGCTAGAAGCTTCCGCTATGTCAAATAAAGCCAATGCCAGCCAGCTCCAAGACAGATAGGCTGCTGGCCAAGACCAAGCCCATCAGTAATGGTGGCAGCGCCTCTGTGATGATGTATTTAAGAAGGCGAAAAGAACCTGCAGAATGGCAATTGCAGCCAGGATAGAGGACTGAGAATATGTGAGAGAAACAACTCTGCAGACACCAAGGTCAGTGAAGAAGGAGGGTGAGGAGATGCTCCAGGTGCCGGAGCAGAGGTTCCCCTGCAGCCCGTGGAGAAGACCATGGTGAGGCAGGTCGTCCCCCTGCAGTCCATGGAGGTCCACTGTGTAGCAGATATCCACCTGCAGCCCATGGAGGACCCCACAATGGAGCAGGTGAATGCGCAGAGAAGCCTGTGACCCCATGGAGAGCTTGCACTGGATCAGGCTTCTGGCAGGACCTGTGACCATGTGGAGAGAGAAGCCCATGCCGGAGAAGGTTGGCTGGCAGGGCTTGTGACCCTGTGGGGGACCCACACTGGAGCATCCTGTTCTTGAAGCACTGCACCCCGTGGGAAGGACCCATGCTGAGGCAGTTTGTGAAGAACAGCAGCCTGTGGGAAGGAAGGACTCATGTTGGAACAGTTTATGGAGGACTGTCTCCTGTGGGAGGGACCTGACGCTGGAGCAGGGGAACAGTGTGAGGAGGAATCACAGAACCACAGAATGTTAGGGTTTGGAAGGGATCTCTGTGGGTCATCCAGTCCAACCCCCCTGCCAAAGCAGGGTCACCTAGAGCAGGCTGCACAGAAGTTCTCCCTCATGTTCACATGGAACTTCCTCTGCTTCAGTTTGTGCCCATTGCCCCTTGTCCTGTCACTGGGCACCACTGAAAAGAGTTTGGTCCTATCCTCCTGACACCCACCCTTCAGATATTTATAAGCATTTATAAGGTCCCCTCGCAGCCTTCTCTTCTTCAGGCTGAACAAGCCCAGCTCCCTCAGCCTTTCCTCGAAGGAGAGATGTTCCAGTCCCCTCATCATCTTCGTAGCCCTCCGCTGGACTCTCTCCAGGAGCTCCTCACCTTTCTTGAACTGGGGAGCCCAGAACGGGATGCAATACTCCAGATGAGGCCTCACCAGGGCAGTGTAGAGGGGAAGGAGAACTTCCCTCGACCTGCTGGCCACACTCCTCTTAATGCACCCCAGGATCCCTTTGGCCTTCTTGGCAACCAGGGCACACTGCTGGCTCATGGTCAACTTGTTGTCCACCAGGACACCCAGGTCCCTTTCCGCAGAGCTGCTCTCCAGCAGGTCCACCCCGAGGCTGTACTGGTGCATGGGGTTGTTCCTCCCCAGGTGCAGGACCCTGCAGGAAGGAGCAGCAGAGATGATGTGTGATGAACTGACCACAACACCCATTCCCCATCCTCCTGCCCCACTCAGGAGGAGGAGAGAGAAAATGGGAAGTAAAGTTAAGCCCAGGAAGAAGGGAGGGGTGGGGGGAAGGTGTTTTTAAGATTTGGGTTTATTTCTCATTTTCCTACTCTGATTTGATTGGTAATAAATAAAAATAATTTGCCCAGTTGTTTTGCCTGTGATGGTAACTGGTGACTGATCTCTCCCTGTCCTTATCTCAACCCATGAGCCTGTCATTGTTTTTTTTTCTTCCTTGTCCAGCTGTGGAGCGGAGTGATAGAGTAGCTTTGGTGGGCACCTGACGTCTAGCCAGGTTCAGAATACCACAGCTGAAAATTCATCAGAGTCTTAATTTTTTTTCTTGCTTATCTTTACCAAGTTACTGTATTATAGGCTAACATAAAAAACAAGTAGGTAGCATAGCAGTTCAATGTCAAAAAAAAAAAAAATATACCCATCTCAGTTGTAAACAGTGGATTGAATCCTGAATTTGTCACCAAGGCAAACTTGTAATTCCCATGCTGAAATCATCACAGTATATTTTTATATAACATATAATATACTATTTTATTAAACTGAAATTCAGCACTGAATATAGTAAAGATTTCAGGACAGCATGTATCTGGGATTTCTTTTTTCATGATTTTGATGCTTTTGGGAATTGCAGATACCAATTTCAGAAATACTGGTAAGGAAAAGCCTTTTCTTGGTTGCTAATAACAAATTCGAAGATACGAGAAACTAGTGTATGGCAGCGCAGGTCCAGTGATGTGCTACCAGTTATAGGTCGATTGCTGGGTAACTGGGTAACCAGGAGGATACTATTGCTGATTAAAGCCTATTTATCAGGTTCATGAAAGAAGTATTTCATAAGTTATGAAGTGCTATATGTGGACTTAAGCATATATTCATTGGAGTTAAGGGTCTGAAATAAATGTTCAGAGTCAGTGTATGTCTTGGCTGTTTGGTGTTCATTTACTTGTACAGAGTGAAGCAGCTCATGAGAAGCTGGGAAATACTGACTCTATAGACTGGTGGTCAGGGCTCTTAAACAGGGCTTGAGATCCTCAGGTTCAAATCTAGCATTTACTAATAGTACAGATAAACAACACATTTAGTTACTGGGCAAGGTTTTAAGCAGAGGGCTAGAATCCTAAATAAGTTACTTTTAGGAATTAGGGGGTGATCAAAATGTTATATATATGTGTTTTTTAAAACTTGTTTTCCGTGGGAAATGAAATTTGCACATATGGTGTATACTTATACAGTATCTTAGAGACTTGACAAGAAGTAAGAAAAGGGGAGAAACTGTTGAAGAATTAATATTACGTATTTCTTTCAGCATAGCAGAATGATTGCTTTTGCTCCTTTTTTTTTTTTTTGGGGGGGGGCTGGGTGTTTTGGACTCCTGGGAACCAATGGAGCTGGGAAAAGCACAGTATTTAAGATGCTAACTGGAGATGTCATCCCATCTGCAGGACGTGCTGTTATCAGGACTCCTACAGGGTAAATAACACAGGGTTTGACCAGAACAGTGCTAATTGATAATGCCAGTGATCAAAGACTCAGCACATCTTCAGTCCTTTATAATGTACTCTAAGGACCTGTTTTGTTCCTTTTTAAATGTATATTTCTCAATTGCTGTGAAGTCTCTTCAGGGAAGCATTTTAGCATTATTTAATCCCATCTGACAGCTTTGTTAATTGAGTGAACTTGTCTGGTAGCAAAAGAGTAGGTTCTAACAAGATTTAACTCACAGCCTTTTAAAATTGTAACAAAAATCTTAACACACAGTATTTCCAGATGCATGGACATATATTCCCTATACTAGTGCTGCAGTGAAAGGTTTCCAGGCTTAGGCTGATGAGCAGTGCTTCAAGTGGATAATTTTAAAATGTTTTCTGATACTTGTGTGCTTCAGAGTCATTAGTTAATTACTTGATCAATATGCTATGTAAGTAGGATAGGAGGCAGTGTTGGTGAATCGAGGCTAACTTTGATGAAGTGATAAATGAATAACGGACTTTTTGGGTTAGATGTAACCAACATTTATCATTTTTCCCAGCAAATTTGGAGGTGAAGTAAAGTTTGTTTTTCAGCCAGGTCAAAGTAAAATTGTATTAGTGTATATATAAATGTATTCTGGGCCAGTTAACAATTTTATAATTTTTTCTAAATCAGGTTTATTTCAAAATATGTGTTTTCGAGAAGGACAGGTAAAGGGTTTAATTCAGAAAATTTGTAAAGGAAGCATTTTGGAATTTCCAAAATGACAAGTTACATTTCTTTGTTTTAGAAATTAAATGCTTTCATAGCTCAATATTTGCTCACTTCTTTACAAAGATAAATAGATTTAACTTTAAAGTGTAAGTAGTTTCAGTCATTGCAAAATTCATTTTCCTGCAAATTTACACTTCTTTTGAAATGGACAGCATCACTACTACCAAACATGATTTTACTTAAGTGTGTTTTGTTCGATTTTTTTCATTATGTTTCATAACAAATTTTTTTCAAGAGATTCAGTGTAAAAAAGTAATTTGATCACAAAAAACTCCTGAAATGACCATCAAATAATAGTGAAACATGAAGAAGGGATGACTACAGAGATTTTGGAAACATTATTCTTACAAGAATAAGAAGTTATATGAGTGAGGCCTTACAATGGTTATAGAGACTTTTAGATGGTTTTTTTAACTTCTAATTTTCCAGAAAAGAAGACAAAATTTTTCAGATATTAAGCAACAACAACAATGACAAAAGTTATTTAAAATGAAGTAAAAATTAACATTTGGTGTTCTCTGGAGCTGATGGAATGCTTTGCATCAGGATATCATGGAGGTCAGAAGTTTAGCATGAGTCTGAAGAGGAGTCGAGATTTACAGACATAAAATCTGTAATAATTTTTTATAAGATATTGCCCTCAAGGCGGTATTTAAGCTCCCAGATTTTGTTTAGATTTTGAGCACTATTTTTCTACAGATTTGAATAGAACTTGCCTTTGGTCCCACCTGTGCATTCACGGGTTGCATATAGCTTTCCCTGTACAATATGGTACCAGATCTGTATTTGGGTCAATGATTTCATCTTATGTGACAATTCCAAAATTTTAATATCCACTTGAAAGCAAATAGAATAAGTATATATTTCATCATCATGTGTATTGGCATTTACACGATGTCTATTGACTACACAATTTATTTTAGCAGAACCCCTTAAGGTAACTTTAAAAAAAAAAATCACAAAACAATTTAACAATGCCCGTATTCCTTTTACCAGACATGGTACGTTCCTGTGGCTAAATGGATAAAAATTCTTCTGAGGTCAACTGTAGTATGCTACTGGCATTTAACAACAGGTTAAATGCTCTCCATGCATATCATGTGTGCTACTTTCATTTCCCTACTGTGTTTACTAAATCCAACATGCAAGCATACTTTATGATTCAACGTTATTTACTATATGCTATAATATAGGTAATGAAATTCGACACATTTAGGAGACTCGAGAGGAAGTATTAGGTATTTGCATTTAAGTGTCCAAAATACCTTTGACAACATCAATTATTACCTGGTATTATGGTGGTGTCAACATAGGTTAAGGATCTTTAGGTGTTTGGAGTGGCTGAAGTGAGTGTAAAACCCATATTCCCAAGATATCAAAACTTATCACTAACTTGAGAAGGTAACCTCAAGCAAACTCTGCAGTTACATGGTAGCTAAACTTGAGGAAACAAACAACTTTGAGGCTGAGAGATTTATGTCATTCCTGACTTTGTTCCTTGCTTCATATTTTGGCAACTGCTGTTAAGCAGGTCACGGCGCATTGTGTTGCTGTACTACTGAAAATCACCAGGGGCCTAATTTGTTGACTCTTCCGTCGTTAAGATTGTGACCACGACAGGTCTGGAGAACCCTTCCTCAACAGCTGAAGAATGACTAAAGTTACTCATCCCAGGGACTTTTAGGTCAATTTATTTGCATTTTCACCTGAGATAAATGGAAGAAGGGGGATATCATGGTAGGAAGTCTCCTTTTCTTATTCCAGTAATGTGCTCAAAAGTCTAGTATTCCTGGCAAAGAGGAAGAGAGAAGAGTTAGCTGAAGAAAGCAGTTGCTGGTCAGATGCAGACCATTTGATGGTCAGCAGATCTAGACTTCTTTGCTTAAAATCTGTTGTGAAACAGCATCCATAGAGATATTACCTCTGACAGCAATTCTTGATGGCAGCAGCTTAGATGTACATCCCATCTCTGTTGGGTTTGACTGGAAAAATATAACTTTTGTCCTCTGTGACCCTGAGAGGACAGGATACTATAATCTGTTGGATCCTTCATGATACATTCCTCGTGACCAAATAATGAAATGAGTATGCAAAATTATTATCATAAATATTGGAGAACCTAAGTGATGTAACTCCATGCAGAAAATTCTTAATTCATAATAGTTCCTGTTTCTCGAATAACTGTGCTTGAAAGTTGGTGGTTTAAAAAAACCCATATAACACCACCACCACCAACACCCCCCAAATAAAACCATATGTACATTTTCCTGGTTGCTATTTTACTCAATTCACTGAATTTACAATGAAGTCAGAAGTGTTTCTTCGAGGCAGGTGCACTGAAGAGAGCCTTGAATTTTACAGGACAGCTTTTGCACTTTTGGACAACACAGGAGACTAGAAACGGAAGAGCTTTTTCAAAAGTGTATGTTGAATTGTAAAATAGAATTTTGGGAAGTTCCGTCTAAAATATCTTGCAGATTCGTAAGATGGGGTGTTCTTAAGTAGGAATGTTCATCAAGTATTACAGCTAACTTCATGTCTTCTGCAAATCAGGGTTTCCTGGCATTCTTCTTGATGGGGACATTCTTTTGGGGAACAGGAGGTTTCTGATCTGTTTGTATTAAGCTATTTTCTTTTTGATACACTGCAAATTAAATAGATATTTTAAATGCACTATGTGCCTAAACTTACCATTTACATGGCAAATGCACATTTATGGTATACAAGCTGAGGAGTCTACAAAAAACCTGATTTATTTTTATTTTCATACCCTTCTACAGAAAATGTTTTTAGGCAATTCTAACCTTTGCAGTCCCGTTCTGGTCATAACTATGTCATGATAAAGAGAGTTCAGTAAGATAAATAGTAGTAATTTGTCACAAACCACAGCCATTCTTGTGAAGATAATAGCAAAAGGCCTTTCACAGGGGATTTTGCCCCTTTTATTATTTTGTGTACCTCATTAACATTGCCATTGTCAGTGGCATATCTTTCCAAATGAAACATAAAAATAGTTATCATATAGCAAGTGTGTCTCCATGCTAGGGATATTTGCAACCCCGATATTAAAGAGTGCCAAAGCAAGAAGCAGCATTGAAACAGTTTCTTTGGAAGATGTGGAAATAAAACACTGATACTGAAGTACCAGCAGTCCATCTCGTAAAGGGCAGAAATATTGAAAGCAAAAAAGAAAATGACTAGAAAGGAGAGTATTTTAATAAAATTTGCTTACCTGTATTTGTAAAGTGTGGTGCTATAAGATACTAGGAGACTCTGACTGGCTTTTGAACAACATCCATATGAAGGAGTTGTCAAGCTTAAATCTGTATGATAGTTAACTGCATGGTCTGCTTGACATTTAGAAGTTTTTTCTGTGTTCTCTGTAGCACAGCTTCTCTTCTTTAAGAGTACAAATGGACTCAAAATTGCTTATGTTTATCTCTACTGCCATAACTAGATTGCCACCAGTGCGTGAGCTGGCTAACTGAAAGTTAGCGTATAAAACTGTAAGCGTAATTGTCGTTAGTTTTTCTGTCAAATAGTTTGAAGAAGTAAGGTCTATATCAAATATGTACTAAGAAAAGCTGACACTTTGTTTTGGTGAAACAAAGGAAAACAAAGTGAGTCCTCATAGTCTTTGAATCTCTGCTGTGCTGACGTGTCAGCAGATATTGTACATGTCTTCCACTTTTTTTTTTTGAGTGTACCTTGGCCATTCTTTGTTTTCTTTCCCTTTACATATTTGTGTCTAAGTCTTCCTCAGTGACTCTGTGTCATAAAGCCTCCTTCAACTGAGGAGGGCTAAACGCAGCTTGGAAGAGAAAGTGTCAAAATACTTTTGTCATGTCAAGATCAATGTGAAATAATAAATAATGTGAGTAGTGGTTTGTTTGCCTTTTTTGTGCTCGGTATTTTGCAGTCTTTGCCATTGTAGTTTGCTGAATAAAGTTGACTTTAAGGTCATATTTAGAGCAAAGTCTCACTTGTAGTGTGGTGCATAGAGGAAGAAATAGATAAGATGGGTGTCATTCATAAGTTACCCCACTGACGCCTGAAGCATTTGGCAGTCTTCCTCATGTAATTAATATATCTCCCCATGAATTTCCATCTTCCTTCTGAACAGAGAGATCCTCCTTGACAGCAGCTCCCCATAAGATTTGAATTAAGTGTCAGTCAGCTCAGCTGTTGGATTGAAGTCATAAGACCAAAGAATTGCTCTCTGAGGAGAGGAAAGTGAAATATTTCTTTATACCTAGAACTTGGACTCTTTTGATTGTTATGATATTCAGCTTGATAAATAATTTAAAATGTAATTCAAATAGCTTTACTTTAAAGCCAGGATAAATTTACGTCAATATAATGACTGAGATAGCTGTTGTTACGCTGTATATCAGTATAATTAGTTTAATTATAACTAAGCTATAGTTACATTAATTATATTTTAACCTTGATTTTTTATAATGTTAATTGAGCTTTAGTATGCTCTGAATTGAATGTGCAGTTAGGAGTACAATGGAATGTCTAACTACTTTTGCAATTTGCAAATTTGTATTTCCTTTTGACTAATTAATGGAATTTATCTCTCTACAGAAGCCATTGTAAATTCCATATATATCACTGCCTTTATTTTAAATGCATTCAAACACTGCAGAAAAAGCTTACAAAAGTAAAGCAAAGTGCACAGCGGAGTCAAAAGTGAAACAATTTTTTCAAACCCAGCCATAAGGCTGATATTGAGGGCACTAAGTTGTCTCTGGAAACTTGAAAGTGAGATGTACCTTTGGATGTCAGACCACAGCTACCTATAAGCTGTGTTGCTGGTAACCACAGTAACAAAGAAGAACCAAATCTAGTCTCTTCCAGCCTAGCTTTCTGGAAACTACAGGTCCATTTCAGGTAGCAGAAGGCCACAGCTTTTGTCTGAGATCATTCTTGCTCATTCCAGTGTTTCGGTTTCTTTTCAGTGACAGCAAAGGCTTTCTGTCTGGAGTACCCCATGCCACCCCAATGTAGTCTTCAGGGCTGGAATGAGATTTCAGGGGTTTCTTTCAACATGTGAAAGAAATGGATCGATGTAAAAGTCCTTAAAATGATCAGTGGAGGAATGATTTTGAATGAAAAGTTTTGTTCACTAAGAGTTTAGTTTATTATCCCCAGTATCTTGCAAGTCTGGCTAATTTCTTCCATCGATAATAAAAGTCTCTGTAAGATGAGCACTCCAAACTTTAGGAAGCCTCCTTGAGTCCTGGATTTTTTTGAGGATGATTTGCACCAAGGTATCATAATTCTCACTGTATAAATGGAGATCAAAGCACTTAGAAAGGGCTGGAATACAATATCTTCCATGCTTCAAGTGCTAGACTGTGCTATTTTTCTTATGGATGCCATACATCCTGTTCACCTTTTCTGAAAGTGTCCTAGAAATTAATTTTGCAACTTTAAAATTTTGTTTAACATATAAACTTTTCTGGAAATGTTCTGTTGGTTTTGTCTGTTACAGCTGTTCTACTTTAAAGGAAAAATTAAATAGTAAATGAAAGTATTGACTGAGCATAATAATATAGTCTAAAAATGAAGTATTTACTAGGAAAGAGAAAACTCATGTAGCATGTTAGTTCTATGCCTTAACTTGATCAGGATACATAACCAAAGTTTCTAACAGAGTTTAAAGATAACAGTTACTCCATGTTTTTATAATGATACAGAAACTCCTGTATTAGTGTAAAAGTCTGATTTCTTGATTATAGTTTTCAGATATTGCACTGGAATTGATTGTGTCTACTGTACTATGGACAAAAAGGCTGAGAGAGGGGCTGGAATCTGTACTTAGATATTCTTTCTCTTTTTATTTATAAAACAAATTGAGTTTTTTCTTCCTGTATGTCCTGTTGTGTATATGAATGGCCTAATGAAAAATGCTACTATGATGACAATGGAAGGGCAGAAAACAAACATCTGGTTTTCTCTAGCTTCAGAAAAAAAATCAGCACTTTGCTGCATGCTAATCTGACTTCAGATTTTTTTTTTTAAATATGTTTCAAATTTGACTCCCATAACATCATCTGTGAATTTATTAGTCTAGGAAGAAGAGGTTTATAATTAGTTTAATGAATGGCACCAGATTTTTTTTAAAAAAAGGGAAAAACATTTACAGTATATCATTTAGTGAAAGGGTTTTCTGGTATCATGCCATCACTACTTGAAACTTTAATTTCATTTAGACTCATGAAAATAGAATCTGAGAAAAAGGAAAATCCATTTCCAGAGATGAGAGCAGTTTTCTGTTGTAAAATATATACTGTAATTAAAAATTATGCTGTATTTTTTTTTCATCTAGTCTTTCAGTGTTGACAAAAAGCTTGGGACCTGGCTAAATAAAACTGAAGGATAAACTCCAGCTTTTTGATCTGGAAATCTATTTGGTGATATAGCTGAGGGAAGAATAGGCATTGTACTGTACATACCAATAAAGTCTTACTAAAAACCCAGAATCCTCTTATGGCTTTTTTTTTTTTCTTCTGGTCAGATTGTTTTCTGCTTTGACAGATACAGAGATGGAAAAAAATTACGTCCATGAGTGCTTTAGTGAATACATTAGAATCTCTTTATGAATGGAAACTCTTTAAATGTTCAAGGTCAGCACTAATGGATAAAGTTGCATGATAAGGACTGAACTGAGTAAGAATATTAAATGATCTGTTCTCACTGTACTCTTCCTTTATGAAAGCTAAAGGTTGGTGGCTGGGTTGTTATTCATCTAAGTCTGTGAGCTTTATGGGAGGCACAACACTAAAATCGTATCTGTACAATTAACATTGATGTGTTTTTTTATTTCCTGATGCAAACCAAGTAACTATTGTCTAATATAGTTCTAGCTATATTCTAGATGTATGTTATTTTTTGCAGCTGTGCTTACCTATTTTTTGTTCGTCATGGTATGGACCCATTTCAGACTAGATGTTTCTATCCAGCTACAGGGTTCATGCTGAGTAAATGACCCTGAAATTACATGAGTGTGATTTGTTCTCTTATGACTGAACTTGGCATATTACCAAAAGCCCAGTTCCTTTTTTCTCCAAAGACAGCAGGTGCACCAAAAGAAAACCTTGTTAGTGTGCCTGAATCTTCCTAGTAAAACAAACCCCAGACACACCTCTCTGTGCTCAGCAGCATCTAGACAGCATTTCACTGTGGATAATGTTTCACTATGTTAGAATTCATTAAATAAGGAATCCATTGCTTCTGACAGGTTATGCAAAAAGATCAATGTTGATCAACTTGTATCTTATGGTGAAGAAAACCTTAAAAAATAATTTCATTTGATTTAGATATGGCTGGAAAATGATCTGGTAAAAATTATGTATATACATCCTTGAAAATAACCTATAAGTGGATATAAACTAGTGAGGAAGTACTCTTCTAGTATTCCCTTTTCCCTATCATCCCTTTTCTTTTTTGCTAAGTCTTTTAGAGAGCTGTCTACAGGCAGTTAACTTCCTTGGCACCTTCTTCCAAACCTACAAAAATACTAAAATTTTATATCTTTGCCATTAAGAGCAAAGGACCATTCTAATTTGTCCCCAGCAAGGTTTGTCATTCATAATCATGATAATTTATCTTTAGATAGCATTAAAATGTATTTTGGTGCTGTGATTCATTATGTAAAATGCAGAATTTTTGTCTTCTTTTTCTTCCCAGACTCCTGCATCTTGTTAACAGGAGATATATATTTATGTTTTCACTAGTGCTGGAATTCGTAGATCCTGCATTTAATACGTTTACTCTGTGTTTAATGGTTAATCATATATTTAGTTCTCTAAACCAGAAATGTAGAAAACCACTAGGGGGAAAACCATTCTGTTACTCAGACTCCTTTTAAAATTTTTTTTTTTCAAAGCTCAGACTTTTTTATTATTAAGTATCTTAATTTTGACAGGTCTTTTCTGTACATGTAAATCAGCTTCATTGAATGTTGAATTAGATGTTGGAATAAATAGGATAGATTTAGTGTCATTATGGGTAATGAGACACCCTTCCAATCAAGCTTGCTTCTTAGCAATGAATGTAATTTCAAGTAATGCTGTACAGCTACAAAGTGATGGCCAAAGCCTCTTAAATCAGGATCATTTTATAATTTATTTTCTGTATTGTCTTTTAACATACTAGGCTTTAATAGTCTGCATTTTCTTTTACTCTTGTTGTTTAGAGAATGCATGCGTGCTTATGTGCGTGCACAGACGCACAAAGAATAAACAGCAACATTTCCCTCTGTCTCTACTACTGCCCCTTCAATATTGAATGTGATAAACACTGTATGGTTTTGAAATATGTCTTCTTAGAGCAGGGTCTACCAAAGAGACGAGGGAGGCAAACCTGGTAAGAATTCTCACAGATCTGTCCTCCTCCTGGGTTGATCTGTTCACCTTGACACACATCCCATTAGAACAGTGGTGCACGGGTGGCAGTGCTAATCTGAAAGCGACAAATATCGTGCACTGCGTGTGGGTGGTACTACGGCAAGTGATTAGAGCAAAGAGATTCATACTCATTTACCTATGGAGTTGAGGGTAAGTGTGTGTGTCTTGAAGACTCTGTATCCCAAGGGTGAAACCCAGGGCTGGGGTATTTTTAAACAACATTCAAGTCTTCTGTTTTTTCTTTAAACAGGTCTGAAATGGATATACTGTCTGCTAGCTCTGAAGGCATTCTCATTGGCTATTGTCCACAGCAAGATGCCCTGGATGAACTTTTAACAGGTTGGGAGCATCTTTATTATTACTGTACACTGCGTGGAATTCCAAAACAGGATATCGATAAGGTAACTATCCAGAACAGATTTGCAGACAAACCTGAAGCCAGGTTGGGCTGTGAACTTTACAAAACAATTGTACTTTTTTCATGTGGAAGAATAATATTTCATCTTAACAGCTTAGTAATAAGATTTTTCATTACTACTACTTCATTTAAACAATGTGGATTTTTTTCAATCTTCTGCCATTTCAAAACACAATAAAGTCACTGAGCATAGCAAAATAACACTAATGTAAACGAAATGCTAGGCACAAAAACTCCAAAGGAAATGAAATTTATGAATGGTTCAACACCTTCACTACCACACTTAGAGAACTGGGAGGAAACACCACATGTTCCAAGTCATACAACTCTGAAAAAAATCTTTTCTTCAGAGATGGCATTAAACTCTGAAGGAATTAAAAATCGTTGTATAAATAAACCAGACATCTGGGTGCTGAGATGGCAGCTGTCAGCACTCTGCTAGTGAATGTCTTAAACTTCATGAGATAGTGGCTGCATTCAAACTGTCTGCTGGGGGCCATCCCTAAAACACTCCAGCTGCCATACCAGGCCTGGACTTGTGTCCAAGGAGGAGAGGCCAAACCCATGCCAGAAAGTGCTTTAAGAGCTTACTAGTGTAGATGATGACAATATCTGGGAATGTCACTGAGAAGTTTTGAATTTGCAGATACAGATGTAGCTGTGCTGAGCAGCAAACAGTGATCTTTTTCTGTAGAAGCAATCAGTCAGCTAATACCAGAAATTAAGTACCAAATGGATATAGTGTAAAATACGGGTTTTTTTCTGTCTCTGTAGATGGAAGTTTCTGATCTGACCTCAGTCTCTTGTGCTTAATTGCACCTCTGTTAACAAGAGGAAAATGTAGTGTGATGTGAAGTCGGTGTCTGTTATTCCTGCCGTAAAAAGATTGGTCCCATGTAGTTGCTATGGCTCTAGGATTGTCCTCGTAATTTCCAGAATGCTGCCTGTTGTCTTTCTTTTCCTTTTTCCAGAAGCAAAACTGAAAAACTGTAACTAAAACATCTTTTTTTCTACCTACCCAGCAATTTCTTCGCTAATGCCTCAGGGTCTGCTAAGTGGTTTACAGTCAGTTCCTTGTCTATATGTGAGAGGGGAGCCTAACAGTTTTTTGCAGCTTTTTTTGTCTCCAGCAGCTAGGTGCTATTCCAGAATAAGGTATGATTCCCACAATGGGACATTGAGTATTCAGAAATAACTGCCATCGTGCCCCAATAATAGCATCGGGACAGGCAATATTTTGAAACTTTTCTGTCTTAAGGTAATAATTTGGGTGTTTCTGGATGAGAGACTGGAAGAAAAAAAAAGTCTTAAAAGTTTTTGCCCCTTCTCTTGGGCAGTATCCTGCCTGGCTGGACTTTTAATTGACTGTTTCAAAAGTACATCTCCTGCAGGCTGCTTAGAAATTATACAGTCTTTTATTTCATTGTTTTCTCTTCATAACTCATCGGTGGTAGTTTTTGCTTCTGAGTGCTAGCAGAGTACTGAAAACTTGAATATGTTTCCATTGATCTAAAGGAAATATATTAAGGAATAATTGCTATTGCACTAAACCTCTCAAGTATAATTACCTGTTTTCTCCATGAACTGACAGTTCCTCTCTAACAGTTGGGCTAAAACTCTATCATAACTAGCATCTATTATCCTGGCACTTTAATAGACACAAAGCTGGCAAAGGGTTTGTTTTGGTTTCGGCTGCCGCCGGCAACAAAAGCGCCACGCGGCC